TGCTCTATGCAAAATGTACTTTTATTGGGGACTTTTCAAGTTATACCCAGTGAAATTTATTTGCTATCATGCTATACTTCAGGCATTGTTCAAAAGACATCCTGAGTCTCCATGGATCAATTCAAAAGGATGGTAGCATTTTTTCTTCTTGCAGAAAAGAAGGACCAATGTTGTAGATATTTGTTTACTTCCAGAAAAACTCTGGGAATTAGCTTCTACAGACATCATGCAATGTTCATTTTAACATTTCTACCTACCTTTTGTATTATACACACTACAAACAACAATAGGGAGTCATTTTACCTCATTCCAACAAATATATTGGGTGAAAAATACATAAAATGGAGAATAAGTTCAAATTTACCTTTTAGAGGAGGATATAAAATTTTCTAGCCCAGAGACTTTATGAAACTCATAACAATAGCAGGGAGATCCAGTGTTCAAAATATCTCTTCCTCAAGTTGTGAATTGCTTTCAGTAGGTTGCAGTCATTCAGAATTTCCCACTTTGTTACATCCCATTTTTGGCACTTGTCACAGTCAATTCCCTGCCTTATCCTGAGCTTTCAATTGTTCATCCCCAGACTTGGTATATACAATCTACACCTCCTTAGCTATATTTTATACACTAGAGCTTAGTTCTCAAAATGTTTGATTCTTGTGTTATAGCACCAACTTTGTCCAAAAAATGATCGGACAATCTTTTTGCCCAGTTAGTGTACAGCACAGCACTGATAAAATAGACACAAAAGACTACTAGCATTTTACCGTTGACTACTAGTGACAGGGCTAAAGAAAAACCTTCGCGTGAAGGGACAAAAACCAAAATTGAGAAATTCCAATGACATTCACCCAAGGTTCCTCCTGGACTGGAGTAGGAGAGTAGCAACCAGTGACCACTGCGGTGCCTGCAGATATTGCTTGAGCTGTGAGCTCCAAAACTACATTATTGGCCATTCACGTTTGGTTCATGTTATCTGCCCTAAATGCCCATCAAGCTGATTAGGCCATGGGCTATGAGGATTGCACCATTGTGAGGGACCCAATAGCAATTGTGCCCATTTACCCGCATCGTTTGGTGGCTCATACACTGCGAACTGGCTGTTTGTTAACAACATCAGAATCTCTACCCAAGGATGTGCATTCCACTCAGTGACGGTGCATCACCACCCAATCTGCTCAGCAACGGAAGAAACTCTGGGCCAGTGTCGTTGGATGTGTCAGTGTCCACCCCTCAAAGATGAACCCTGCCCATCGCAAGCCCATTGCCGAGTCCCTCCTCCCCATTCAAACTCAACATCAATCCCACCTCCTTAACCAAGACCCATCCATCCCACCTCTTACATTGAAATTTTACGGAGATGACGGTGGACTAAGTGCCTTTGTGAGCAAGCGATGGGGGTATCATTATGTACATTGTTGTAAATTGATATCCATTCAAAAGGTCGGCCAGCCATAGATCTCTGACCATCTCCGTTGGTACATTGGTCAGTGCATGTGCTCACTCTTCATGGAGTAAAAATCCTCGTGAAAAGTTCTTGACACACAAAAACTGGGTTTGACTCCCAGACAGAGATATGAGCCACGATTTATGTTTTTCCCCTGTCGCCTCACCGAAATAAATTCATGTGCATACCGTTGTACCGTTGATTCTTTGGACTTGGAGCTTGATATTATTGCACAATGCAGGTGGGTCTATGCCAATACGTGATGATCCGCATGTCATTGAATTGCCTATGCTTTCATCATAAAAACCTCTTAGCTCCATCCCTCTCCGTTCATATAGTACATCTGCCAAGGGGGTTCAAGAATTTAAAAAAAGTAGCTGGGGTCGATTTTTTTGGTAAGGCCCTGTGTGCTTGACCTATCTACCTACTTAATCAGGCACATGCCTATATATGGCAATATGACATCATCATCATCATCACTCTAATCCTCTAAGTCTTCGCATACCCAATTTCGTGGGGCTATCTCCAATGCAACACATTGTAGGTGGTACTAAAAAATAAGTGAGTGTAGTGATTAACTTGTGCAAGACTGATACTCACCTGTTGAGTCTCACATCCAACCCTTTTACATTTTACCAAGCCATTGCATCCTGAGTGCAATACCACACTGCACAGGCATCCGTTTAGAGTGTCTGATGTGTCAAAAGCATCAAGATGATTCGAGTTTTGAAATCAGGTCACACAGCATACCCATCGGTGTCAAAAACTGGTCTCTAACTGTTTTGTCAGTAAATTGTAATTGATTAAAACATTAGACAAAAATTTGATGAAGATTAGACTATGAAAAACAATTTTGAAGCCAGAAATTGGGCCAGATATAATGAAATATAATATTCAGTCAAGATAATGTACTATACAATGATATTTTAGATGCAGGAATACTGTAAATCACCTTGGAAAACCAATTTAGGACTATCTTATAGAGGGTTCCAAATTATTATTTTTCGGCCTATGGCTGACCTACCTACCCAACCCCTGGTCTGGCATTCGGATCCCTGAACCCCCTTGACATCTGCCCGAATTTCTCGAAGAATACACTAACTCACAATAAAGAATGTCACATGGTTTTTTTTTACAAAGTTGGCACTATAACACAAGAACCAAACATTTTGAAAACTATGCTCTGGTGTATGAAACATAGCTAACATAGTGTAGATTGTACATACCAAGTCTGGGGATGAACAATTGAAAACTCAGGATAAGGCAGGGAATTGACTGTGACAAGTGCCAAAAATGGGATGGGAAATTCTGAATGACTGCAATCTACTGGAAGTAATTTACAACTTGAGGAAGAGATATTTTGAACACTGGGTCTCCCTGCTATTGTTATGAGCTACATAAGGTTTCTGGGCCAGAAATTTTATATCCTCCTCTAAAAGGTAAATTTGAACTTGTTTTCCATTTTATGTATTTTTCACCCAATATATTTGTTGGATTGATGTGAAATGACTCCCCATCAATGTTTGTAGTGTGTATAATACAAAAGGTAGGTAGAAATGTCAAAATGAACATTGCATGATGTCTGTAGAAGCTAATTTTTAGAGTTTTTCTGGAAGTCAACAAGTATCTACAACATTGGTCCTTCTTTTCTGAAAGAAGAAAAAATGCTACCATTCTTTTGAGTTGATCCATGGAGACTCAGAATGTCTTTTAAACAATGCCTGAGATATAGCATGATAGCAAATAAATTT